GGAGACTTTTGGAGAACTTCCAATGGTATGTCAATTCCTCATTCCATAAAAAAATCGTAAGAATCCAGCAGAGGAGCGAGCACAATTTATAATATCCAACTTGGACCATTATATTTTTTTCCCATATATTGACAATAGCGTTAATATCGTATTTAGTACTTAATTCATTTTTCTTTCAATAAAATGATAATACTAGGAGAGAAAATAAATATACAAAATGAAAACTAAAAAGGAAAAAAGGAAAAAAAGGAAAACTATGATAATGATTTTATTGAAAATAGTTTTTTTTTTTCTTTCTGAAAAATATCAAAATATTTGAATGTCCTGATTAGTTACTAATTATTCCATATTCTTTATGTTCTATACCTGTAAATTCCCAAATAAATAAAATAAAATCTAAAAGGGTATTGTTGGAATATTGTGAAATATTATAACATTATTTCCCTATAAATTAAGCACACACTCTCATAGAAAATGAGACAACCATTTCTTGATTTCATTTCTCCCCTTTGCCTTTTCTATATAGGGTAGATCTTTCGGTCGGTTTATATATATAGCACGTTTGAAGACACAACGGTATGTGTATTTGTGTGGGTTATTTGTGGATGTTCGGTAACTGTTAATTAAATCATGAGTTTTGTTGCCTTAGCTTTTCTATTGATTAAATTAACAAAAGATTGTTTAATGTTTTTAAGACTAGAAAATGGAGGGTTTATGCATTGAAAACACTATCCCAGAACATATCGAACCAGCTGTGGATGTGGATGTTGCCGTCGTTGCTCCGCCGAAGGAGAAGTTGGAGAATGTCGGCAGAGATGATCATGGATTGGCGGAGAAGAGGTTTTCCGACGGCGACAGCGGCACAAGTAATAAACATGTGGTCTGTTGCAAGAGAAAGAGAGGGCGCCCGAAGAAACAACCGCCGATGGAGATGCCACAACAATTTGTGGCGATGCCGGAATATTTCATCACTCCACCTACGCGGGGAAGAGGCCGGCCTAGGGGTTCTGGGAAGTGGCAGAGGTTGGCTGCCTCTTTCGGTAAGTTTTTTTATCTTTAATATGGTTATTAATTTGTGAACCAATGTTGTTGAAAACGAATGGGACTGGTCGATCTGACCTATTTGACAGTAAATCGGCCGCATGAACGAGTTATTGACAAATTAGGGTTTGGGTGGTTTGGGAAATTTTCGTGTATTTATTATTGATTTTTAATTTGGTTATTAATTTTTAAGCAATGTTTTTAACAATTAAACGAATCGAACTGGTCGATCCGACCTATTTGACAGTGAATGCCTATATGAATTATTGACATCTTAGGGTTTGGAAATTTTTCTTGTACTTATTATCGATTTTGAATTTGGTTATTAATGTGTTAAGAGTGTTGTAAAAAATTAAACGAATAGGACTGGTCGATCCGATCTATTTAACAACAAATCGACTGCCAGGAGTTATTGACAAATTAGAGTTTGAGTGGTATGAAAATTTTCTTGTACTTATTATATCGATTTATAGAACTTTAATTAATAATCATAAATTTGTTGATTAAAGGTATCTAAAGTAATGTATGAAATTAAATAATTTTTTTTTGTTGGAAACATTGGAATATATGTTTGCTAAGTATTTGTATATTTATTATTTCGATGTAATTTCTAGAATATACTTTTGTTATTAATAATTTAAAAATTTAAATATTCTTTTTAGGCACCACATTTGTGCAATTCAAGTGCATGGAATGCTCTCACTATTCGCAACACATACGTATTTAATTTGTGTAATAATTTTTCCTTATTATGTTCAAAATTTATTTCTAGTTATGTTAAATTAAGAAAAAAAGAAAAATAAAAGGGCCCCAACACAAATTTTCTTCAATTACTCATTTAT